TAAATATTTTTTCAAAATCTATGTTTCTTCCTCACCATATTATTAGCTCATAGATATCTACCATTATACGGAAAACGCTTTTTTAACAACTAATTTAATATTATCTCAAGTCTCAAGTTCCTATTTACACATCAACAAATAGAACTACATAATCTAAACTAGATAATCCTAAATCATTTAAATGAAAAGCAGTAGTTTATAACTCACATTACCCTGGTAATGATGCTAAATATGTACAAAAAAAATGTACGCACAAAACGTACGCCTAAAAAACTTATAGTCTATTGTAGATGTGTGAAAATAACTTATTGATAATTTTAGTGCAAATAAAGAGAACAATAAATATTAAAAGGCGCTTTAAATTATTTTTTTTCTCTTTTTTTTTTTTTTTTTTTTTTTTAAATTATTGATAATATCACATTTTATTTACAAACAAAAAAAAAAAAAAAAAAAATAATTCAGTAAAAATATATAAAACAATTTTTTTTTTTTTTGTATTTTTAAGAAAACATAACAATATGAGCCTAATAACTAAAAATCTCGATAATAATGGATAAACTAGACAGGATATACATTGCAGTTGGTTAAATCAGTGAAGTGGAAAGCTCACCCCCATATTTCTATTGTACACCTTGCTAGCTACCCCTGTAGCACGTGCTAATATACATAAAAACCCTGAACTTCAAACGGTTATACCAGGTGGGTTGATAAAAATAAACATAAACAAGATAAAATACTGATATCTGCTTTAAAAATGCACTGAAACAAATTTTATTTACAGAACCACTATAGGGATTTTTTGAAGTAAAACTTCTTTACGCGTTTATAAAACAAGGCCGTGGACACACACAAGCGAGACGAAAATGGTAAGGACAGCCTATGGCTTAGAAATACATAGCGACGCGATGTGTATTTGGGAGCAGTTCAACTGTGTTTATCAAAATATTGATATTTTAAACACAAATCTTGTGAAAATTTTAATTTACTACTTCTTTTCAACATTTCAACTACACCTTTTCAAACATGCCCTTCAAATCCAATTTAATAGCTGCTAATAAGAAGTTACACTTCAAATAATTTTTAAATTATTTTTGAACCCCGTGAAGACTTTGAAATAAGATATCCCAATCCTGAAAACATCATACACCTGTTATATATAATTACAAAACTACCCCCCTTATCTAGATTAAAAAGGGGTCGGACTTTAATTGGGCTAAAGATGGCAAAGTAAAAGGTATAGAGTATCTATCTACCTCAATAATAAGGATGAAGATTTGCAGGTGATGAATCATACCAAACACCATGGGAAAAATATTTTAGAGGGGTTGAAACACCTGACACCGAGTGATACCAAAAGCAGGGGAAATTTTCCAATATGAGGGAAAGTAGTAGCTCATAAAAATGTGTAATTTTTCTAAATAGCTATCCAAATAATTTATATTCTACATCAGAAAATAACTAAAATCACTAATATGACATTTTTCAATGCAATATAACAATCCTTAATGGTTGAAAATCTGTGCCTACGTGTCCATACAATCTTATTGTCAGCATCGAAGAAGATTTGGAGAGAAGGTGTATTGCTATAGCGACACTCCATAGCAACGCTTAGGGAGTTTCACTTTCATCGAGGGATGCTATAGAGATCAATGCGTTGGCCTGCTCGAATAATACAGTTATAACTTTTCTTGCAAATACCTATTCTTTTGATATTATTTATTCAAATATCTTTCCAAAATAAGTAGAAAGTTTTACAGTTAATTTGTATTTGTTTTCTTTAAATAAAACTTTACAGTAATATGTAAATAATGTGAGTCAACATTTAATAAAGCCAACTTTAGTAAATATTATTAATACTCTTATTTATCCATACATTTTCAGAAAAATTATAATATCATCATTAATCCACAAAATAATGTGCTTGATTAAGATAGTAATCAAACTGTCCATAATTCCTTTAATGCGGAAAATTGCTTTTTGAAAGATTTAATACAGATCACTTACACTTTGAATGACTAATTTTCCTTCTTTGATAGCTAATTTTCAAATTGCCCTGTCTGCCTCTGTGTGAGAGCGAAATTCGACGTAGGGGACGACATTGCAATGATTAACTTAAATTAGGAAAGCGATATCGAATTTTTATTTGTATACTAATAAAACGGAAAAACACAAGGAAGAGGCCATTTGTAAGTTCAAAAAATACTCCTAATTGAAGGAAGAAGAAATCATAAATGTGCAATGCAAAATATAAAATGGCTTTGTTATTAATTTTAACGTAAAGAAAAGTAACAAAATAATTGATAAAATATAGAAAAATCAAGCAAACTAAGCATTTACCTAATGTTGCTATGTTGTTGTACCCGTTGCTAGGCAGTCGCCAAGGATACCGAAGTGGATATTCCAATTTTGACAGGTGCCTCAGATTTCTGCGATTTACTTATATTGTTCCCTTTTTTACAGTAAGCTCCTTTTACTGTAAAAATAATTATCTCTTACGTATCTCCATTTTTTGTACTTGATGTATTAATACCCCATAGGAACTGTTATTATTGATTATTTTAATGTGGCAGACAGCTGAGACGGCAACTGCCATAACCGACCGATAAAACAGGAATCTGTCATATTTCTCGCCACTGACCACTGATAGATTATTTTATTTCCCTTTTCTAGATAATTTTCTGATACCCTTGATAAATTTTATAAAATATCGAGGGAAGTCAGATACATTCAAAAAATTATTTTTAAAACTTCTATTAAACATCCAATAATTAAATTTATAGAAACTCTTTTAATTTCTTAAAAGAATTATATTAAAATTAAACCAAGAAAGTAAATTGGGTTGCCTATATTAGAATAACATACGTTTGTATTTGAATATTTTAAACTTGCATTAATTTTATGTAAAATAAGTTAGTGCTTAGCTTTTTTACATTGTCAAGACCTACCTGTTTTGAATTTTTATTTATTTATCTACATAACAAGCAACTTTTTATTATAAATATTTTGGTAAAGATGTGGGGTCTGGATATGGTCTGGATAAGAGATACAGACTAAGGTCTGGATCTGGTGGCTGACCTTTAAGGGATTATTTGCTGCAAATAAATAGTCACAGATTGTAAGTTATTTTGGAATTATTTTCAGTAGAAAACAAATTAATGTTTTTATCAGTGCTATCAATAGAGATGATTTACAATATTATATTATTATTTTAATTAAACAGAAATAAAACTCTAGATTGACGCTACGTTTAAAAAGTGCTTTATTAAAACTTCGGAAAATTAAAAGAGGCGTGTCCAAGTTTCTTCTTTTTTTAGAATTTGTAAATACCTTATTCAAAGGTAAATACTGTAGCTCATCCTTGTCTTGTTCATACTAAGTTTTATAACATTTCATTAAAATTGTAGAATCAGCAACAATAATAATTACCTTGTTTAATTCTGCTTGATATAAAAATATTATAAAAAATATCTTAATATCAATCCAATATGCTCAAAATTCTACCTTCACCATATTGTCAAGATTTTATTTTGGCATAACAGGAAACAAAAATTATATATTCTGGTGTTGGAGCTTGGAAATTGATAAAAAAAACTACAAATACATAATTTGTACAGCACAGAACCATGTTATATAAGTTTTTTTTATTGATTTCATAGCAAAATTGGTGAAATAAAAGTAAAAAATCTTGGCTATTACATTGACTAAGAAAATGCCTTGTAGAAGCTACAAATAGGGGCCTTGTTTTATAATTTATAGACGTAATAAGTCTCTATTTAACTAAATATTACATTATTTCGGAAAATATCCAACAACAAAGTTATATTAATTGAAGATTCTGAAGGTTACCAAACCGCCACCATATTTTTGAATTTTATTTTAATTTATATGGGTTTAATAGGTCTGAAACTGCTTAATTAACTATATTTAATGATAATCCATCATTCCTTAACTATTTTAAAGCTTCAAAATCTTTTTTAAGGCAAAAATCTATTTTTTATGATACTAATAATTAGTGACATTGGGGTAATTAAAATGCGATATCTATGTGAATTTTGCTTTATTCGTTTATTGTTTGGTGTCATTTTATTCGGAAAACACGTAGCTACATTTCCCTGGTAGTAGTTTTGTCTCCAATGTAGCGTTATACTGCCAAATTTTCAGTTAAACGTGAAATTTAGGTCATAAAATTACATAATTTTTCATCGGTAAAACAGAAGAAAAACGCGAGTTGGTGCTCCCTCTAGCGTCAAAAATCAGAAACCTAGCGACAAAACTCAATGTTATTGGTCGTTTCGGTCGATTTTCGTCATCTCTAGACGGACCGTTGGCGATGTAATGTCTTTGTTAGTTGCCTCTCCAAAACTTGTTAAGGAAAAGTGCCTTTTTCTTGTATATTGTGCTCGGAAATCATGTGTAGTGCATAGCTGAACTCTTAGATAGGGTAAGTTCGACCATGTTCCTACGAATTTCCCGATATTTTACGAAAAATCCGACCATCTAAAGGCGACCCGTAGAAGCGCAAAGCGCAAGATCAACAAAAAAAAGTCAAAGCCACCTTTATTTTGTTAAACTTTTCGTTTCTGTCTGTTTACTTTTTTTTATACTTTCTGTTGCTATAAATAGTTCTTTTTTATGGTTGTACTGTATTAAAATAATCATTTTCAGACTTAAATAGTTTGATGAATATAGGATTTTAGAAATAAAAACCTTATATAAGTGAATAAATTATAGTCAGTCAATGTTCTAAAGAATATTTCTAACAGTAGTGCACTTGATATGGGTTTTCTTAAAGATATTATATAATAGAAGAATGCTTATGTAATAAATTTTTTATAAAATAATCTAAATAGAGTTTAGGAACCTGTAAAACACAGAAAGATTACATCTGCCTGTATTTAAACTAAATAACATATAGAAACTTAATAGAAGGTAATAATTAGTACTTAAATATTGTAGGTATAACTGATAATCAATTATAACTGATTGTTATTGATAGTTTTTCTGAAGCTAGTAAATTTTCAATTCATTTATTTAATTTATTTCTTTAGAGACTTTTTGCTTAGGTTTTTAGGTTTCTAGATGTCCTTGTCTTGTGCAGGGTCCGGCAAAAATACCATGTATGACATTTATAGCTCCTAGAATAAAAAACTAAAAACATAAAAACATTCAAACTTTCTAAAATATAAAATAATTTTTGAATGTTTTTTTTAAATATATATTATTTATTCACGTTTATTCATATTTTGATATTTCAAAATTTTTAATTATTTTGCAGATACACGCAGTATTATTTCATATGGCTTTTCAACTGTAAAATAGGAGAGAAAAATTATTGGGTGGCTTTGATAAAAATTTACTGTGGAAAATGCCATATTAAATATAAAACTGCGAATATCTGCAAAACCGTTAAAAATTTTGAAATACTCTAAATACAAAAAAAAAATCATTTTTTAATTCTCCATCTATTGGAAAATAATATACAGGGTGTTCCATTAAAAAAACAAGAAAAATTATTTTATATTTTAGAAAGTTTGGTGTAGAATTTTAAACATCCTGTATGATTTACGATTACCATATTTATAGCAAAGTAGATAAGTACGGATCAACTAAGGAAAATACCTAATATAGTTTTGATTTCAGGACAGTAGGTACTTGTATTTTTAATATTTTTTTGGGATAGGCTGAAAAAAATATTTATTATTTATTAATATCTATGAAACTATCGAAGTATATTTGCCCATATCTTAGGGTTATGTAAAGGGATTTGAAATGAAGCCAAAAATGGAATAACATATAGGGTTTTCCATTAAAAAAATCATCCCGATCTACTCACACTTTTTTGGGCCGCTCTTTAAAATATTTTCCTGGAATACAAACATTTCCTGAATTTAAACAAACTTTCCAAGTTTTTTATTCTAGGAGCTACAGATGCCCGACGCAGTATTATTGCCGGACCCTGTATAGTATAAGTGAATTAGATGATCTATTTGAAATTCTGTTTAAATTAATAGAAAATTGTTAACATATGAACTATGTAACTAAAAGATATTTTGTCTTGTTTCAGATTATGCCAGAAATTATCCAGAGTTACGGATATCCAAGGACTACGCTGCCAGTTAAAAAGGATATGACGAACAACACACCAACACAGCAACGGATCTTCAGGTCGCAAAGAAACCAAGCTGCTTTTGGATGGAATGGACCAAGGATCGGTATGGGTCTGGACACGTCATATAGCTCAGGTCGTACCTGAGCTCGGGCGCTGTATCCAGACGTGCTGCACTCCGGGAGTGAATGTGCGCCTTTACACATTTTGCTCGGTACAGTCGCGGGTAGGGCCCAGCTGGACTCGAGAGATGGTAAGTACGACCATTTTTCTATGCATTTTCTGATATTTTTCGACAAATCGAACCCTCTTAAAGCGGCTGGCTTGAAAGCAATTCTATTGGCTGAATGTAACGTTATTTCTCTTTCAAGAATATTTCTAATACCTAGTAGTGCATTTGATATCGTTTTTCTTAAAGATATTATATCGTCCCATTGCTGCCAAAAGTCACTAACTTACTTTTTATTACTTCCGAGAAAAATGCGTCTAAAGATGAATTGCATTGCATAGAGATGTTATAGTTAGTAACTGTTCGGTATTAAAATAAAACATAAATAGCCAGAAATCGTAGTTAATGACTTTTGCAATCGATTCTCCGCTTCAAAACATAGTTAGTGATTGAATTTGGTTGTTCGGAAAAATGTTAGTTAGTGACTTTTGGCAGCAATAGGACCAGGGGCGCAACTAGACATGTACTTTTAGGGGGGCTTAAGTTTTTTTGGGGGGGCTTAGGTCACTATAAGATAAGATTCATGTGAGGTTTAAACCAATTTTATACGATAAGCACTGGACATCTGGGCCCCCCCCCTAACAGTTCCGCCTCTGAATAGGACGATATAATAGGGGAATACTTATGTATTACATCTTTTATAAAATAATCTTAATAAAGTTTAGAAAACTGTAAAACACAGAATTGCATCTGCCTGTAGCTGGTTTAATTAGTGAAATATTTAATGAAGAATAACTAGTGAAATTTATATTGATATTCAGCTGATTTTTTTCTCGAAACTGATCTAAACCCTAAAAATTAAAATAATGTTTCCTTGTTTTTTAAGTTTGTGAAATATTTCTCTATAGCCTATGTTATTAATTGTGCATTGATTATTTTTTTCTAAATATATACCTATGCATTCATTTTATAAAAGCACTTGTTAGATTGTTATTGATAGTTTTTTTGAAGCTAGTAATTTTTTCTTGCTAATTCATTGAATTTATTTATTTCTTAGAGACTAGATGTGCTTGGGGTTGATAAACTATAATATCTTTTTGTTGCTTCTGGCAAGATTTTTAAATAGTTTACTGATATTTTATTAACTTTTCATCCATTACTAATCTCACAGAAATATGTATAT